CTTGATGAAAAGAATGGCCAGTCCACAAAACCTCTCAAGACAAGGTTGTCCTTACGTTCTTGATCATTTTTTTTCCTCATTTGGAAAAACTGTGCTGCCCCTGAAGCTGCCGTGACTGGGATTGTCAGGATAATCCTGTATGCTTTAGATAAGAAACGGTCGGTAGCTTTTAGAAATTGAAGGGCTTGGAAGTGCAGAACTGGTGTCTTTTGGGGTGCATTCCCATAATTCCCTCAACTAGAGAGATTTCTCAAAACAAACAAGGAACCACAACATGGCCAGAAAAATGTGGGACAAGCCACCTGGCCATGTAGTGGCCTTATTTTGAGAAATCTTAATCTTAATTGTTGAAGTCAATATCTTGGCTACTTTTTGAAAAAAGCTCCTAGGAACGTTTACCTACTAATGACCAAATGGGCTAGATGGGTCAGCTGGCCTCCTTTCGTTTGTAAATGTTAGAGTTCACTTCCCAAGTACGCATTAACGTGCTCATATTTGACTCCCGAATGGCTCTGGCTGTAGGATACATCAAGGTAATGTCTGCTCGTCCTCAGCCACCTTTGTGGCAGGGCGATGCGGTGGCTCTGTGGCTAAGGATCTGCGCCTGTGGCTGGAAGGTTGCCAGTTCGTATCCCGCGGCCGGCAGAGGAATCCTACTCCGTTGGGCCCCTGAGCAAGGCCCTTAACCCCAACTGCTCCAGGGGCGCTGTACAATGGCTGACCCTGCGCTCTGACCCCAAGCTTCTCTCCCTGTCTGTGTGTCTCATGGAGAGCAAGCTGGGGTATGTGAAAAGACAAATTCCTATTACAATAAATTGTATATGGACAATAAAGTGATTTTATAATAAACTGACTGTTCAGTGGAACAGAGAGTTTGTTTTCAGCACGCGGATGCCGTTTGGCTCCCTGCCTCGTTCCTGTCTTGCTAAAACAGCCTGATGCAATTCTTGGATCAATCGGCTACTAACTACCGAACAGGCCAGGAGTGGCCTCCTCTCCTTGATGATCTTTCTTATTTTCTTATGTTCTCGCATACAAACATAAACTGTTGCCGAGGTAACTGGAGACGTTGAAAAGGGATGTATATTGGAAAGTAGTGGATTATACGAATAGATTAATTCCAGATGATGTATGTTCGTTCTCTCCGAGAGCTGGTATACTTAAGTTAATTCCTGCTACATTATCTCCTTGTGGACCATCAAGACTGCATAAATAAACTACAGTCCTGAAGCAGAAGTGTGCTGCAAATGATCTCATTTTTGTTTTTAACCTATGATGAACAGTGTGCACACCTCCGATTTTCTTAGGTAAATGTTTCACGGGTTGACAGAAGAGATGCTCCAAATGTGTACAGCATGTGTTTTTCATAAACACATGATGGAATTTACCATTTCTAAAACAGCATTGAAAATGTCATTAAATCAGAGGAAGTACATGAAGCTTGCATATCTGCTTTTTAGTATAATTGCGCCATTCAACTTATTCCTATTGCAGGTTCGTAAATGAATTCTGATTGATCGGAAAAGAAAGTACAACTGTATGAAAACGCAGAGCATTATGGTTGGCACGTACAGGGTACATATGCCACACGTGCTGCAGTGTGTACAGTTTGGTTTTCTGGGTAGCTCCACCTTGTCCGTGCAGTAGGTTGACCATTCTGGAACTACATCGGGTGCTGTAGCCCACAGACGAAAGATAACCGAAGAGGATTCATTATTAAAAAGAAACACCTGGTCATTTCTTGGTGCACTTCTGTATATGGTAAAAAGAGCATATACTGTATGTATGTAAGTAATATGTAAGTAGGTTGGCTAGATAACCGTTGGGCAGCAAGAAGAGAAAAGTTGAAACAATTAATTAAACTTGAATTTAATGAATGTTACAAAGTTAAAAGGATAGAAACTCGTGTCCTTCGTGGGACTTGGGAAGCTCTGTCTTGCGTCCTCCGCTATGGAAGTTGGGCAGAGGTGAGAGGACTCAAGCGCTTGTAGCGTCCGAGCGGTGTGCTTTTTCATTCTTTCCCCGAGCGGCTTATTTCCTTGGGCTTTTTCCCCGTTTCTGAGATCCAAGTAACAGAATATAGAGGTTTTCCTGGTTTAGAATCCGACTTGGCTTGCTTTTGCACACGAAGACATGTCGGCGGATTTCATCTGACACGGAAGGGGAAAGCAGTCGGCCCTCGCGTGTTCCGTGTGCTCTGGAATGTTGCGGGAAGGTGCACCTGGATCGATTCCCGACATCCTCAAACAAGTTGAATCCCCTGTTCTCGTTGTTCACTTGGAACTCGTTCTCGGCTCCCTGTCGCTATGTTTCGATTCGGGCGAAACGTGATGGGCACAGACCAGACCAGACCAGTCCGTCCCTTCCGGCCTGGCCCCTGTGTTGTTTAGTCGAGGCTGGGCTTCCCAAACGCCCGCCTGCTAATTACACTTCCCGAGGCTGGGTGCACCTGCAGCTGTGGCTCCGTTGTTGATCGTCTCTGCACATGGCAACACTGACAAGTTTAATCTCTCAGTGCTGAACAGGCAAGCCCTTTTCCCTGCAGGACGGCCTAATCCTGAACAAATAGCTGTGTGGTGACTCACAGCTCCGTTTGTGCAACTTCATGACAATAGGAACTGCTCTCTTTCAGAGAAAAAAAATCCTCTTTGTAAGCAGATATGAAATTATATTACTTTAAATATGTTTCTAATTTTGAGAAGGTGGCATGTTCTTTAATCATGAGGTGTTCAGAGGTGTCAAAAAAAAAAAAAAGAGGGTAAGATGTTGATTAGCCAGGTGAATGGTAGCTGTCTGTAGTGGCAGCTCAGCCAATGCCAGATTGTACCAGAAGGAGCCTTAATCGCACTGCCTTGTATGGGAGCAAAATAAGTATTGGGGTAGCCAGGATTTTTAAATTTGGGGAGGCAGAGAGATGGGTGGCAATTTTAAAAGACACTATTTGCCTCCTAAAACGGGTTGTTCTACTGAGAGGTGTCCCGCTGTGCTCCTCTGCACCAGTTACACCAGTGAGCCCCGTTTCCCAGCGCTGGCGAACTCCCGCCCGGCCTTCACCGAGCCACCTGGGAGGGATCTCCAGCGAACCGCCGCTTCTCTGCCCACAGCTCAGGCCCTGTGCAGCTCAGGCCACGCGCGCGCTCTTACAGACGCGTTTGAGATGCTCCAGAATCGTTTCCTATGTGTGCCTTTTCTTTTGTTGATAAATTTTAAGAAA